ATCGATTTTAAGTGCATTAAAAGCTTCAAACCTTGGTTGTACAAGGTTGTTGGGTTGTACAAGGTTGTTGGGAGTATTCATGGCAATGGCAATGTTGTAAATACTTGAAGATGATGAGGTTGAGAGAGTAAAAATGCCATTTTCGAAAAAAATTCAAAAAACATTTAAATGGCATTTTCGTAAATAAAATGAAGATGTGGGGTGAATAGGACAAAAACAAGATGAGTCAAAAGAAGAGGTTATTTTTGTGTTTGACTTGGAGTTTTGAGTCAAATTTGCAAAAAGCCCTTAGAACTTTTGTCAATCTATATAAAGATAATTGACACATTCTTTTTTTCCTCTCAAATGGAGACAACAAAATGTAATATTTATCACCCTAAAACTCTCCAACCTCTCTCTAACTATTTGAATTTGTTAATACCAAACTTTATATCAATTTCTCATTTTTATGTGTTTTCACTAATTTATCTTGTTTTTGCAGGTTTTTCATTACATAGTTATAAATTTTCACTCATTTAAAAGTAGATCTATAAATTTTGGATATGTATTTGTGTGTGTTTTATTTGTTAGATTCTAATAAGTTGTATATTCAGCACAATGTTGATTTTTTTAGTTATTATTTAACCATAATAACATTGGTTTTTGAATTTTTTCTCTATTTTGATGTCATATGCACGTTTATGGATATGTATGTTTTATAGATCTAGGTAAGACTTCCAAATGACCTTTAGAAGACTTCTCGGAAGATTTCCTGGAAGTCTTCTAATTAAAATGAAATGTTTTACTTTTAATTGGCAATTACAAAATTAACCTATGCAAACTTCCACTGACAATGAACACACTTCATGTAACAGTTGTGAAGACTTCCATGGAACATAAGTTTCCATAGTAAATTCCAATATATGATACAACACAAAAATGGAATTAACACCAACCAAATCTTAGCATTTCTTATATTATGGGCTCTTACTATAAAAACACAATCAATAAAATATTCTTTAAATTTATTTCAACATTATATACCTTGCAAATGTGGTTAAACAAATATTATAGATAAAATTTGGTTTATAATTTTTTTTAAGACTTTAGCCCATAAGATTTTAGGAATTAACTCGAATTAACTCCATTCATGTGTAAATATTATTATACAATTGTGAAGATTACAAATGAATAATAATATTAAGTCTGTCAATTTATATATATATATATATATATATATATATATATATATACAAACTAGTCAAAAAATGTAGAATTTTTATATATAGTATATCATGCTGTAACAATGTATAATTACATCACTGAAAATTTTAAAATACACATCCGCATAGTCACGCGGATCTAACTCTCGTTATTATTATTATTTTATCACACATTATAGAGTGCATGTAGAATACTGCGCAAATGAATGTGCTTTTATTTGTACAACATATGGTTCAATTTTTTGCTGGGGCCTCCATAAACGACAAGATGACCTACTTTCCACCATGTTCTGTCGAGTCTCTCACTTTATAACCATGACTGTTGTCCGTATAAGACTCCGTGTTCTTCACAGTATTATCTGTCTGATAGTTTTCGTCGATAATGAAGGTATCACGGATATATGAGTCGTAGTCGTAGACTTCACCTCCCCATTCTACCCCTGTCCCGGAGCTCTCTTTGAACCTGCTCGATGGCCATAACCCAATTTCTTCATTCGACACGTACTGATACCAGTTCCCGCTACTTTGGTCCTGTACTCCACAAAATCCACTTGTTCAAGTTCTCAGGAGTGACAATATTCGTACTTTTCTAAATACGCAATATATGTCTCTACCCCTACTCATGACTTATATTTAGGTCAGAATCAATCCTTAAATCTTGTCTTACAATAACAAATTAAAAACTATGGGATCTTCTTGAGCCATTTATTAACCAAATTAGTTTCTTCATCTTGCAGCAATTTTTGGCTGGAAAGCTTCCTTGTCTCCCCGGTGAACTACCAACATATAATGATTGGGAAAATCATATGACTACACTATTCCCAGAGGTTTATCACTAACCTCGAAAGTCCATTAAAAAAGCCAGTGAGTTTCAAGTTCCATGTCTTGTATTGAGCTTTAACATTAATAGGTTCGGTTGAACAGATACTTGGAGATGAGAGGTACAAATTAATAAGACGGCTGTTCAAAGCCCTGCATTCTTGGATAATGTCTACCTCATCCAGAAGCTCCTCCAAAGTGAATATACACTCTCACTTCATGAGTTCTCTGATTTTAAGTTATACCAGCCATTGTTTCAATATTTTCTGTAATCTCAGGTGGGTTTGTTATATGATGAGGACGTTCTCCAGTCTATCTTGGATATGATAGCTGACTGGACTCTAGCAAAAAGAGAGATACTAAGGAAAAAAGTAATACCGAGACAAGCCACAATCTCTTATTCCAATATTAGAAAACATCTCCTCTTCAACCAGTTTTTGATTTTGCAACATGTTCCCCTAACTGGTTTAAAGACTCCGTTTAGAGATGGTTTGTTGAAGCATGTCACTGAAGATGTCCTCAAACTCGCAAAGGTATTCTCATAATAATAAGCACTCTCTTAGAAAACTTCAAGCCAGATAGCTATAAATACTAATGTGTTTCTTCTACCTAAGGATGGTTTAGAGCGTAGAGGCTACAAGGAAGCTGGTTTCTTGAACGCAATTAATATTCATTTTTTTTTAAAATGATTTTCTTTATTATTGGTATGCAATTTTGTTTCACCTAGAAGAACCTAGAAGATGTACAGTTAGCTCTTTTGGTCACTTATATTCATTCAGAAACAAAAAAAAAAGCAATCATCAATGAGTTTGAAAAAAATACTATGCATTACAAAACTAATCCTTGGGTAAACGCATGGGAACCATTCTTTGTTTACCAAATTATTTTATACTTTATAGTCAATATATAAAACAAAGAATATTGTTTACTTGGCTGCCAATTTGTAACAAAGTAAAATGATCTTCAGTGTATCTCAACATGTGTGTTAGTATCTGTATGTACATTTATGTCTCTGTTAATTCTTACTTAATTCTAAATAGTATGAATTTTTCTCTTAGTTCTTACTTTGTATAATTATGTTTCTGTTAATGTTTACTTAATTGTGAAAAGTATGAATTTATCCCATAACTATTACTCTGTAATATCATTTATTCCACAAACAAATTCTGAAAAGTATGAATTTATTACAATGCAGAGTGCATTTTTTCTAACAAAAGAAAGAAAAAATACTATGAAAAGATTTTTAAAAAGAAAGATAGCTACTGGAAAAGCTTTACAATCAAGTCAATTAAACTACTGAAATGCGTGTGACTATGTTGTTCAACATTTGTGCAATGATAAGTCCAAGTATATTAACAAGACCACTAATAAAGGTTATATTTAGCTCGTTGTATGAGTATGTAACTATGTATGATGTGATGGACACTAGCTGCCCATCACAATTCCTTGTTCAGAGCCACTGATGGCACCATCAAGAACGAATATGATGATAAAACTGATTACCAGTTTATCCAAAGCTTCCTTTTGTTTAGAAATGGTCGATGTCTTAGCAATAAAGCCAGATGGTAATTGTATTTTCCAAATCAGTCTTTTGTTCAAGTATGACCTTATCCTTTGAGACTACTTCCTCGTGTAGCTCTTGAGACTCATCTCTCAAATCGGCCACTTGATTTTCTAATTCCTACAAGATTATACAATCAAAAACGCTAGAAAAGATCAGATCATTCAATCATATAGCTAGAGAGAATCAAAAACGCTATTAGACTAAGGAACATATCATTAAAACATATAGCTATACAGAATTGAAAATGTCATTAGATATAGGATCAGATTCTTACAAGTTTACACAATCAAAAACGCCAGTAAAGGATTAGTTTATTAAATCAGATATCTAGAGAGAATCAAACATGCTATTAGACAAAGGATCCTATCATTAAAACAGATAGCTAGACAGATAGTAAAAACGACATAGGATCAGATCATTAGACAAAATTGATTACCTCCTTATCCATCTGTATATTTTCTAACGCCACCTTATGATCTTCTATAGGATTAAACAACATTAGAGATTGTTAAATAGAGGATCAGATAGTTAAAACAAAGAAGCATATTGTTAGACAGAATGGATTACCTTGTTACTCATCTGCAGATTTTCCAAAGCAATCTTTAGATCTTCTATTATCTTATTGCTTGAATTGATTTTATCTTAAAGACTTTGAATCAGTGAATCCATCGGATATGGAGTGCAGAGAAGAGAAGAGAGAGAGGGAGAAGAGTCAAAGAGGAGAGTGAGAAAATAAGAAATTATTTTCACTGTCGTTAAGTGGAAGGATAAATAAGAAAATTTTGTCATTTAATTCTAATTGCCATATTTGTTTCTGCGTAATTTTTTTTTAAAAGTTGATTACTAACCGTCTAACAGCCCTTGTGCATGTAAAAGTATTTGTGTGTGAATAAAAGTCCTTTTATTAAATTCTCGTCATAGAGTTTTTGGGAATGGCTTTTCATCAATTATTAAATGGGACAATTGGTGTAATAAACCCAACGAAGATCCAAATTGGCCGAATGCCCATGAATTTGGATAACCCAAAAAGGAGTAACATTTTGACACTACACGGACGTAAATTACCCCCTGCTTTATCAAAAACAGATTCAGTGGTAGTACGAGGCATGTGCCAAACTGCAGAGATGGGTGGCGGGACAGACAAAGGACTCTTGGATAAAGCAATGAAGATCAAATTGAGATTACGTTACCGATAAAATATTCTATAACAACTAATATGTTGTGTTATATATCCAATATATATTAACGGTTAATTTTGTTGTTGCCAAACATTACTTACCTTACAAAGTGTGTAGCTCTAGAATTTAGTACGTACACATTATGTAAGCTGAATACTAATTTGGTCAAATTATAATAAGTATAATGCATAATATTTAGGGCATAATAATATATATTATCTAACATGTAAGGGATAACATAATAAAAGATGTATATATAAAAAATATTATTAGACACTAACGGAAAAATATACCATGTACTTTGTTTGATAGTTTGCATAAAGTGCTCTGAATATATTTATGTCTACTTCATTTTTTAGATGTTTAAATCTATATGTATTGTGTTGGAGTATTAAAAATTACTATACAATGTTAATTATTATATAAAAGATTAGCTTATAATTTTTTTTTGGTAAATGATAACAATAATAAGTATCGCTAAATATAGAGTATAAACAGATGAGTCATACATAGTTGAAAATAGAATGCTAACAGTTAATATTAAAAGTTCTAAATTATATTAACATCTAAACTTACGAATTAACTATAACATTGGTATGTAAGTGGTATTGTAATCAATACATCTGTTCAAATTTACAGTTAAAAAAATATTAATTTTGTTTCTTTATAATGAATGATTATCCATATTTGTAAACAAATACAGAAAAAAAAACATAAACTGCAAAAAAAATACTGAATAACAACCAATTTGATAAAAATTTAGTTTCTCTATTTAAAGATGTAACCGTCAATCTCTATTCACAATCTTTCAGCGATCACCAATTACGGTTCCGGAAAATTATGAAACATCTAAAAAAATTGTACCAGATAACAAAAATGTATCACATAACAACTTATTAAACCACACCATGTATAACTCATTTGTCAGCTAAAAACTAAGTATCAAAAATGTACAAGCTCACAAGCAATTTATTCAACCATCATCTACACAAACCATGTATCAATGAAATTCAAATCTCTTGGAATATCATATGAAACAATTATCAATTCTTTGGTATCATATTATGTATCAACTAAAAATACATGTACCAAATAACAAATCGTTTATAGGATAACAATCAACTTACCATGTAACGTATTAATTTATAGACATGTATCAACCCATTTGTCAGCTAATAAACCAAGTATCAAACGATGTACGAGCTAGCAAACCATTTATCAGCCAAACAAATCATGTACCAGTTAATGTCAAGTCTTTTGTAACATCATGTTAATTAGTTATGAATTCTTCGGTGTTAAACTATGTGTCAGCTAACAAAACATGTAACATGTAAGAATTCATTTATCATATAAATATAATTTTTCATACAACATATAAAATCACAAGAATACCAAAGATTTGATAAAACTGAAGATCCACAAGAACATTGTGAAACTAATCCAAAGAAAGTGTTGAAATTAATGATCTCAAGCTCACCAAAAATATGTTCTGCTTGAGCTCTAGATTCAACACCACTTTCACCTAAACCACCAAACAAATATCTTTAGACAGAATAATCAAAAAAATTAAATAAATTTAATAGAACAAGAAAAACAAGTTAGAATCTATCTTGGTAAAAATTATTTTAAATTGTTAGATGCAGAAAATAATAAGAAAAAACAGTGTAAGAAAGGTTAAAAATCGAGGAAGGTGAGAGATTAACCTTCACTTTAGCAATAATGTTTTCTCATTCTTCATTGTAAGAAGATTTTCTTTGGATTCATCTTTGTCAAACTCTTGTGTATTTAAAGATGGATGAGATAAAAATAATTAATTAATATTGTGTGAAGCTAGTTCCTTTGAAGTGAAGGGAGAGGAGAGAGAAGCTGATCTGCAACTGGCTCTGTTTTGATTGCTTTTGGGAAATCCTTGAAAGATTGCATTTTCCAATGAGTTGATTGAGGTTTTCTTCCAGAGTACAGATAGTCTACGCAGTGTAGGGGGAGATAGTTCATAGGGGTAAAACGGTTATGAAAATGGACTCATTACTTGAGGGTTATACGGAAAGTATGATATCGATTGGGGTGTACTCGCCAATTTCTGTTATTAAATCAATAATGTTAATTCTTTTGAAACGTCGCAGAGAAAAGATAAAAACCTTTTCAATCTTTTATACAGATTTGACCATTACTGACGTCGCCGTCTACACAATGTTAAAATACAAAAAAGTAACACAATATTTTTAATCCTTTTTATCCCAAAAGTTATATCAACCAGTATCCGCGTCAGCATGCGGATTTTTGTTCAATTAATAATATTTTTAATTCAAATGAATATCTAACCGTCCCTCTTGTGCATCTATAAGTTGATTCATATGGATCCATATTAGAGTTTTGGGAACCGCTTTTTTGTTAATTATTTAGAGAGAATGACATAAAAAGAAAAATTATTTTACAAGTTTGACCTCTATTGATGTGTCTTTTTATAGAATCTTATATAATAAAATAAACTTTTTTCTCTATAAGGAAAAAAAATGTCATGTGTCATCTTTTTTAATGATTTTTTCATATTTCTTTTTATAATTCAATAATTTATATGATTACCCAAATATTTCAAACCCCAATATATCTTTTCATCAGATCTACACAATAACATTTTCCATTTTTTCACTTTTTATTTTTTTAATCTTTGTCTATATTTTTTTCTGACAAAAGAAATCATTGTATATATTTTATCATAATGTACGTTTACAATATTTTATCATGTATGGTGATCCGACATCCTGCTACTCCCTCTCTCATCGGATTTGTCATTTTGGAGAAGAAGAAAGAGTTAAAGAGAGAGATGAAGAGGCTAAGTCCCGTCAATTATATAAAAAAAGAGAGAATGATTTTTGGCCGTTAAATTTCATTTAATCAATGGTCATAAATTAGGATCCTTGAAAAGTAAAGACTAACCAATGAGAAAGAAGTGTGAGGATAGACAAAAATTATAATTTTGAACCCTTAGATTAAAATCAACAATGGTCATGAAAAAATATATATATTTTAATTTTACTTCTTTCAATTTGCTAAAATTTGATTAAATTTAAAGAGTGTAACTAAGGGTTTAAATAAAAATTTAAAAATTAAATATTATTTTTTAAATAAATAAATAAAATTTGAGTTTAACTCTCGAAACTATAAACG